AAAAATACCGCACCATAAATTTATTTTGTACCGGTACTGCGCACGATCTTCTCTCATTTCTATCTGCCAACTGTGAAGGTTATGTAAATTAAAATAACCATCAAGTTTGCATGATGATTCCTCGCTCCAAATTATTTTATTAAAAAAGTTGGGGTCTGATTCATGCATTCGCAACATTTCACGGCAAAATCTAAACCTCGACAGGCAATCTCTTTCTTGTAGAGCCTGAACACGTTGAATGTGGTAGGGATAAAATCGATGGTCTTTTAAAGCTTTGTGAACCGTATTTTTTGGTATTCCCGTCCGTCTTTCCATCATTATCACTGAAGTCGATGGACCTAGTTCCACTTCCTCTAACACAGCTTCAACATCTACCGTTGCAGGACGTCCTGTTTCGCCGCCACGACTTTAAAAAAGTTAAAAATGATAGTTAACAAGCAAGAAAACAAGAAAGGTGTAAAAATCACTTACCTTCATATATTTCTCTATGGGTCCGGCCGAATACTTCACGACCCGGATGCGGACGATTTGGGTATCGCTCTGCATAGAGTCTTTGAGCAGCTCTGGCACTACAGCAAGCTTCACCGTAAATTAGGTGAATATACGCATATTCATGCGCGTATTAATAACACAATGTTCGAAGGGTCCAATTTCCGGTAAGTAACATAAAATAATGTCAGGAGCATTTAATAATGTGCCTTTGTACTATTTAGCATGTTATTGGTCGGTAACAAGACCAACTTAAATTTAAATCTATTAAATACATTCTAGCGTGTCTAAGTCCTTTACCCACAAACGCGGCTATAACTTTTTTTCTATTCGAAATAATAAGAGTGGCACCTTTCTGAAATATTTATTAAATGAGCAATTTTTTTATGTAATGTTAAGTTATAGCTCAGTACATTTTTTTTTCACCAGAGATAGTCAAAGTTGGGGAAGAAAATATCAAAAAGTTAAAAATCCCAATATAGTCCTAATTTTATAATGGTTCCTTAATATATTTGAACAACATTGCATTTGACTATGGAGAAGCAACTATCTGAAAGTATTTTATATAAAAAATTTACTAAGTATAGCCTTGTTTGTAGATGCCGTTAAAGAAAATACATGAAAAGGGACGATTTTTTTTTTAATTCGAAAAAATTAAAATATTTCAAAAACGGTCACTTTTACCTGAAAAATTTTTGCTTATCAGGGAGCTCACCACCCCACCTGCCATCTTCTCAAGTTTGGCAGGTTACTTCTGGGACACCCTGTACATATATTTCCAAAGGTTCCTAGGAAACGGCTCTAACGATTCGGATGGAATTTTGTATTCAGATGTTTTTAATTTTAAGGGTACCTGAAGATATTTGTACAAAGTTGCCACGTGTCGAAATTATTTATAATTATTGGTTCTAAGAAGGCACAAAAGATTCACTAAAAAATTAAAGTTGAAAGACATTTCAAATAAAACAAACTATTATATACTATTTCTGCGTGTTAGATAAGGTGCAAATTATTTCAATAAAACTCAACATAATGGTTACTCCGTATAGTGTTTTTTTAATCATATGTTATTTTGATTTTATTTGGTTTCTAAACAGGTAGGAATCCTACCAAATGTAATTGAAAATTAAGCCCTTTCCAAGTCGTTTTGGATGATACCCTTAGCGTAGTAATTCATTTAAATTAATTGAATTAAATTTTTTGACAGGTGACAAATCATCTCATCTTCCATATCCATATTGTTCAAATTAATCTTACCTATCATATATATTGAATATAATTTTTATGCAAGTGGCAGCCCTGTTAAAAATATTTTCAAACCATAACCTTATTAAACTTTTCAGTCTGACACCAATATTGTTTTACATATTTCAGTTACCTAATTCCCTTGAATTAAAGCTGAATTTAATTTTTAAACAGATGGTAATCTTCCCACATATTGTTTAGAAATAAAGCCTTTTGAAAAACATTTCAATCGATACCCACATTGTAGTATTCATTTAACTTAATTGGGTATTTACTTGACTTTAAACATTTACAGTTTTAAAAATTGTAACACGACGTTTCTAAACATTTTGAGTTAAAATTTTCATAAAAATAATTTTGGCCGCCTAAATCGGTCAAATACCCCTATGTTCGTCGGTGGACCATACATATTCGAGTTTAATAGATTTTTGATACATTTTTTCTTTTAGAAATTTCGCTATTATAAATCATCATTGGTTTGAATCAAATAATTATCCTTTGAATTCATAATCACTGTAAATCAATATCGTCCTCAGTCTTCACACGGCATGATTTAATTGATTTTTATTGGCGCTCGTTTTCAATCAAAATTTTTGTGGATATTTTGATTATTTAATTCCGCGGGGGTGAATGGTGAGCGATCTGCGATGCGAACACCATTTATCAGCAGTCTAACAGCCCTATTCCGCCACACTGACAAAACTCACCGCGATGACAATTGATATAAAAATGACAATTGCAGCTTTTTGGTATTCGCAGCAAAATTCAAAAGCTCGAATCATGCCAATTGTAATTTTTATTGTCATGAACTTTTGGGCAGGTGACAAGGCAAAAACATATGTTTGTGTTGGTTTAAAAAGTGCGACAATTTAATAAATTTGTGAAAAAAATATAAAAATAAACTAATTTCAATGGCAGAAGAAATTTTAGTTATTTGCGCAGCCGTGCTTGTGGAAGACGAGCAGCTCCGGATGCTCCCTACAAAACTGCACATAAAATTGCAGCTGCTCCTGCGTCGTCCGCTCATATTTTGCACGTCTAAAATGTTTATAAATATACGAATTTATCTATTTCACACAAATACTCACTTTTCTGGTGTTCCACGGCTCATATTTTTTGCAAATAATAGCGTTGACCAGCTGTTTCTACAACAATGAACTTTTCACCATGCATGGTAAGTTGACAAAAGCTTTTCGCTTGTCATTTTTTGTTAGGAATAGCAACGTGCAACGACAATGACAAAATCACGACAATGAAGGATGATCAATTGTCATTCTGTTGCAAAACCGGAATAGGGCTGTAAAACTATGTTCCCATTGGCGAAATTTAGAGGTCAATCTTAATTTACGCATAAATTAAGCACAAACTAAGTAATTTCGCCTTGTAAAGTCTCTCAGTAAATTAAGTTGAAAGTACGTAGTTTATCTTAAACCAAGAACCAAATCACGAACAAATCAGTGTCGGTTCTAATTTTATCGATAATAATCGAAAAAAGTATTGTCCCATAACTGATATGTCATTGTGTTTGGACGTTTTTGTTTTTAATAATCGCGCGTGGTAGTTTGTAAAATATTTCCAGAAGCTTTCTCTTTTTATCACTCATCTAAAATCTAAAAAATTACCACAAACAACTCAAAATATAAAAATATACGCTATTACTCACATTCGCGATCTCTTTTGGTTAAATAAACAATAACACAGGGTTGCTACAAAGCTGTCAAGACAAATAAAGAATCGCGTGTATGAACGCACTTAATTTAGTGAGGTATTTTAAACGAAACTAAGTATTTTATGTTGGTAATGTGAACATAGTTATAGCCATTCTCGTTCAGTTCAGTTCGCCAATTCTGAAAAGCAAGTTAATTGAATTTTTTTAATCAAGTAACACCACACATCGACGGTCAAGATTTTTGAACCGATAATTTTTCATTTCGTCTTTCGGTATAAGTTTAAGCAACGTAACCGATAACACGGTCAATATTAATTGAACCAAACTATTAATTTTTCTTTTTTTTTTTCGTAATTTCTTTGGGTATTCATTCCCAATAAAATTTGAAACTCGTATCAAAGTAATCCCGTTTAACATTCTTAAACTGGTTGAATATTCTCAGTCTGATTTGGTCTTCCAGTAAATTGGGGGGTGGATAGTCTTGATCTTTGTTGCGTATCTTGTTGGCGACAGAAGGGACCGAAGGAGATACAAGTAATACTCCCAAGTATTTAAGGCCTTCGCTGCATCCTGGGAGCAAACAACTTGGCCCATAAAAAGATTCGAGCTAGTGCGTTAAACGCCATTCTCAGCCCACGTTCGGTATAATATTAAACAAAATTTTGGACCGAAAATCAAATGAGAGATACAACCAATTGAGCGTGCCTTTTTTGTTAAACTAATTAGATTTAAAGCAATATTCAAATAGTGATCGATTTATGCGGCATTATTTTTGAAAGTGGATATTCAAAACGACATACTCATAGAATAAAATAATAATAATAATAAATAATAAACTGAAGTAAATACTGTACTGATTTTAAATCGAGTACCATCATCTTATAACATAGACTTTAATAGTACGGACTTTACGTCTACCGTTGGCAGAATTTTTTAATAATCGGAATTTACAACTTGGTATTTGAGTCTTTGAACATGGAATTGTTTCCCATTCTCGATGCAACTTATTTGACAGACGAACAGCGACAGATCGAAGGGGAGATATATAACCTATATCCAGCGCCGGTTCAATGGACCGACACCGAAATAGCCGCCCTCAATGGTAAAATATCTGCTTACGTTGGCCAACCATGGTTGATAAAATCCCATGCCATACACCAAATGAATGAGTTGGAAATATGTGAGAGAGCATATCGGGAACTGAAGGCGAATGAGGTGTTAACACCTCAGGGTCGTCTTCATCAAATGATACATTATTGTTATCGAACCGCTCGGTTGAAGTTAAAACCCGAGTCGGCGTCACGCCAGGCAGATCTGATCGGAAAATTTCAGTCGAAGATTCGTGAGCTTCGGATGTCTTCACCGAATACGGGAATCCCGACGTGCGATCCCCAATTAAGTTTGAACTCGACCTTCCATGGTTTTGAGAACGAACGGGGAACGATGAGTTCAACTCAAAATACTGTTCCATCACAATATTTACCCTTAACCATACCAGATTCGATTCCAAACCAGAATACACCGACTTCGGTTCAGGCAACAGAACTACGGTATACCCTGACCACCAGTACGGTTAATTCAAATGCTCAACCAGCCGTTCTCAATTCAGTGTCAGGCGGAACAGAACCAACACCCTCATTACACCAACTGTCTGTAATGGTGTCTGAGTTGCTGAGAGCCCAAACACAGATGCAACAGCAAATGATCCGTGATCGGATTCAGTTGCAGACACAAATTCCTGATGTTCGTGATATGAACCAAACCATGCCAACGACCTGGAATCATACCTGGATACCACCCTCGGTGGATCCTCCGCATGGTTCTTTGGGTGGTTCTTCAACCTTACAAACTCAAACGATCAATGCCTACCGTGGTCTTAGAACGTCACATATCCAAGAACCAATTAATCAACCATCTCATTTATATCCGAACTATTCGCTATCCGGTCCACCACAATCACGACCAAATCAAGCCACTATATTCGACGAATCTGCCCAAGCGGATGCAATGGATAGGAAATTCAGAGGCTTACCATCATGGATGGGACGTGCTCAATTCGATGGCGTTCATGTGAACGAAAAATTTCTATCGGTTGAAGATTATTTGGCTATTATTGGCTCATTTCGATATAAGATTGGAGTACCCGACCATGAATTGGTAACGCGTTTGGTACCCACACTCACGGGGGCTGCTCGACAATGGTACTTCACCGAACTGAGAAACTTCGGAGATTATCAAGATTTTTGCACGAAACTTCGTGCTCGTTTCCTCAACAAACATACTCGGGCCCAAGTAATAATGTCATATGCACAGATTAAATTCGATCCACGTTCGCAAACACTGCTGAAACATATCGATGACTTGACATTCCAATTGCAGGGTAATTCCTGTGGTCTGGATGAACGGGACCACCTCGATATCATCATTGGTACCTTATCCGATCATCTGCGTGAACTCGTCCACACTCGACAAGTCCACACGTTGGAGCAATTGCGTGAGTTCGCTCTGCGAATTGCACCACATTCGTTCATTGTTGCCACACCCCGTCCGGAAAGAACCCCTTCGGATAGACAGCGATTAGTGCCACGGGAAATTTCAGCAATACATGATCCACCGGATGATTCTTCACATTCAGAATATACCGCTTCGTTCCCGGTGTCCGACTCCTACTCTGATGACAGGGAATGTGCATACTTGAACAAGCAAAAGAAACCAACTCCAAGAAACCAAGAATGTATTCTTTTGATCATCGTGCTAGGCGGTCGTGTTAGAGAGTGCTCTGGTGCAGTAAAGGGATTTTTCACATTGTGATCAACATAAAAAACTCTATTATGACACACAATTGAGCGAAAGGTTACATATGTAAATAAATGTTAAAAAATAAAGGTGATTTTTAATAAACATTCTTAAAAGAAATAAATTAAATCTCATAAATACATACATGCATACATGCATACGTGTTTACTTGTCGCGAAATTAACGAAACGGCAAACCAAAGCGCAGTGAAGTGGTGGATGACAGCAATAAAAACAAAATATATTGACATTAACGGAGCCTGCAGTTGTCTTGCAGTGACTAAGCCCAATGGATGAGTGTGACAGGTGCCACAAGGGCATACGGGGGGATGGTGGTATTCGCTGTAAGGGTGTGTGCGGTAGAGTTTACCATAAAACAAAAGCGTGTGCAGCCATAGATGAGTACTGCCTGCAAGGCTTAGTTAATTGCCCCTTTCTGAGATTTATGTGTCATGATTGTGTTACATACATATCTAATGTTGATGATGCTCTTAAGCAGATGCTCGACATAGCGAATAGCAATAAAATAAATATTTGCGAACAAAAAAGTGAAATTGAGGAGCTAATAAGTAATCACAATAAGGAGATCGCTGCATTATTGGCAAACAATGATAAAGAAATTAAGAGAGTGGTGGACAATATTAAAAAAGTAAACAGGGAGAAAGATGAGCTGATTAAGAGGGTAGAAAAACTGTGCACGGTTAATAAAGAGCATTTTGAAAAATCTGCTGAAAGTTTATCTAAGCAAAGAGAGGAGATAATACAGGAAGTAAGAAAAGTTGGGGAACAAAATACAAATACAGGAAAAACTAAGATGTCTTATTCAACAGCTCTGAAAAGTGTCCCACCAATTATTGTCAAACCAAAGGCGAAGCAAGCGGTTGATATAACAAAAAAAGACTTAAATAAGATTGATGCTACTGATATGAAAATTAATAAGGTAATAGATAAAAATAATGGGTCAGTTGTTATTAGGGCAAACGACAATTCTGAGAAGGACAAAATTAAGAATACTCTGCAAAAGAAGTTAGACTTAGCG